GTCTGGCAGATTTTCTTCTTGCTGTACGTCAAATAACGTGGACGGGTAGTGAGACAGTGAAGCCGTTGATGTTGCTATAATGGTACGTGCCAGTGCGCTTGGCTGCTGGGATGATACGTTTGGGTTATCTAGAGAAACAAGGAAATTTTGAGATGAATGAAATGGTGAGTGAGGGTGGTATGGGAGTGATTCCGATGGCTGGGATAGGCATCGGCAGCGAAGGAGCCGTTCTTGATTATTGAACACCAGCAAGCAGGCCTGCTGTCTTGGGAATTCAAGACAGGTGGCGTAGGGAAAATGTCTGAGACCTTCCAAGTGGCATTTGGTGTACTCGCTGTGTGGTTGGATTGCGACTCGCAATCTCTATTCAGACCTAGGTCGTCTTTGAAGTAGACCTCGGTCATTATGATCACAAGGACTGTAATCGAATTGGTGGTTCGATGTTGCTCCTCCCAACCCTGACACCCCATAACCGGTTTCCTACTTCTTTGTACTCATCTGAAGAAGATAGCTCGAGTTCGGGTGGACCTCGAGGCCTAGTATTCAAAACTTAACGGCATTGACTACTATGGCTCTAAGATCCGCGGGCAACGCTTTACCGCTGTACCAAGACTTGCTTGCAGATATTAGAGCCATAGTGGTCAAGGTGTCAACCTCAAACCCTAGGCCATGAGGTCCACCCTAGCTCAGGCTATTTCCATCTGATGAGTTCAAAGGAAGATGAAACCAGTTATGGGGTGTCATGGTTGGGAGGAGCACAACCGAACCCCCAAGGCTGAGACCTTCGCCGCGGCTCGTTCAAAGGCCCCAATCCGCGGCTAAGGCGGCGCTTTTGAGGGTATTGTGGATGGATGGGTTTTTACCCGCAACCTACTGTGTCTCAGGACAGTAGGAACGACGGAAAACGTTATGGAAGACTTGTAACTGCAATTTAGAGAACAACCAGCCAAGAAAGCACGCGATACAGAAGAGTTCTCCATCGTTGATGGTATGATGCCGGCTCTTCTGCATGAAGCCCTCTGGACGTCTACACTACTCGTGCTGGATCGGTCCACATGAGAAACCGCAGCCTCCTCTAAAGAGTCGCCGGAGCTGTCGTTGGTAAATGCCGGTGAAGGCAGATCAGGAGACCATTCAGAGATCTCTACCCTAGCTGCGGTTCATTGACTTGCTGCTTTAGTTCGACATTCTTCCTTCGACCAGAAGACACTGTGAATGAATCTCCTCGATATCATGAGGGCAGGGTACTCTTCGGGATGTGTCCGCCGGTGGTGATTTGTCAGTGCTGTCCCTGAAGTGAAAGATCTGCCGCAGAAAGAGCAAGCAGTAGGTGCTGGCTTCTCGACCCGATAGTGGTCTGGAAGATGACACCTGTGAGGTTGCGCCTATCAACCCATTCACACAACCGGTGCTTCAGAATGACCCACCAGTCAGTCATTAACCGTTGTGATATTCATCACTCCTCGAGATTCGGTGGCTAAAGGGTAGAGGTTTCGGCTAACATCCGTAAGTTCGAACGTTTCTTATCTCAACCTGATGAGAACAACTAAGTTGTAAACCGGTGGTGGAATGCAGCATTTTTCGGTAGACAACGCACGATGTCCAGTTTTCTCATCAGTTACGATCCCAGTGATTCATTTCAGTGCGAATCCTGGTGCACACTGAGATTGCGCGTCGCAATCCACTAACACAACGAATGCCTCAAAATCACCCTCTGCCAAAATGTTACACTACTTTTCGTGTTGCTTTCTCATTCCCACAAACATGTATCTAACGCGCTAAGGCTCAGTCTGTTCGCCGATACGCAATTTATTGTCTTGATATATGTAATCCTTGAATTTGCTATTCCCTTACTTACCAAGTTGTGGTACCTGCAAGCCTCGAAAACATTACTGGGCAGATTAATCATTGGCGCCTCGGCTGACGTGAAGTAAACATTGGGAATGTTCACAACTTCCAAAGCAGTATTGAAAAGGTCACAGAATAAAATCTAATAAAGTAGATTTGGGAGAATAGGTGATTATTCGCAACCGATTACTTAGTCGTATCAGATGTGACAGGCCATGTCGGAACTCGCGACACCTTAGTTGTTTCTGTGTTCTTATTGTCGGCAGCATGGGTCAGAGTTGACTTGCAACGCCATCACTTAGTCATTGTCCGTATGCATAAGAAAACTGTTAGTGTGGACCTTACTGGTGAAATGGCTGCTTAGGTGTAGCGACTGACGCAGTCAGAATACTATCCATGGGACCAGCTCGACAACCGAACATACCAGGTCGCGTTTTGACTGGAAACCTTACATAAGCAGACTTTCTGTTGGCATGCACATTTGCCCCACCTTGTCTACAATCCACGCACGAACCAGCGTCTTAGATCCAAATTGCTCTTACTAGTAACTGCAAATTAGGTACTTCACTCCAAGTTTATCTGCTGACGCACAGTTTGCAGTTAGATTCTGATTTTGCTTGGGGCACACCGGTATAGTGCTCGTTCTCTAGGTTCCGGTCAAACGTCCAACTGAAGCCTTCTTACTCGTTATCTTAATCCATATTCCGCTAATAAACTATCTAAAACAGTTTGAAAATGCAGTCAGACTGACTAGAGAGTTAAACAAGCTCAATTTTTCATATCATTGCCAAGTCTGCGGCATGATGAACTCTCCAATGTTGCTTGTAGGCTTTTTGTAGTGCTCGGTTGGTATTTCGGATGATTCGATTGATTTAACGCACAGAAACCCATATAGCAGTGTGGCACCTCACGACCATGTACTGTGCTCTTCATATTCGTTGCCTGCATCCGCTGACGTGTGTCAGTAAGACGCTCACCCATTTATCGATTGGCTGAGTTTAACATAGTAGATCAATGCGTTGTACGACATGCCGGTTAGAATACAGTTTTGCCATCCATGTGCCTGACGTGTTTTGCTTTGTGATACTTCGGCTAAGAGCCAGCCATTGTGTGATAGTTCCGCAATTCCTAAACTGTGACAGGCACTTATTCACTTCCAATCTGTCCACCACAGTTTGAATGCCTCTAATCGAGAACAGAACAAGAAATCTGGTGCAACGTTAGGTGATCGGATATTCATAAAAGTAGTATGCCAATCCAAGTTAGAACAGGCGGTTACAGCTTCAACAATCAATTGCGAGGAACTGGTTCATTCACGATCATATCAATGTAAACACTGGGCGTATCATTTTGATGCGTCCTTTAGACGTTGTTCCCCGACTTCAAGGAGAACCCACCAATGTGGTTGATGTTTTACCACACCACACACAAGATCTAACTCAAAAATATGCATAAAAATGAGACAAGTCTAATACATCCGCTACTATTAATTTCGCGCTGCTGATGCGTCTTCATGACATTTACCCAAGGTTATGCAACAATAATTTTATTTTTGGACTTAAAAAAGCATTTGACTTTGTACCACACAAACAGTTGTTAGAAGAGCTTAAGTCTTTTGGCTTCCGTGACCCACCATTAAGTTGGCTTTCCTCTTATCTTAGCAATCAGTTTCGAGTAGTCACTTTGGATGATCGTCAATCTTATCCTCGCCCAATTACCAGCGGAGTCATTGCAGGAAGAGTATTTGACCCTTTGCTTTTTCGCCTCTACATCAACGACTTTGGCATATCCATCAAAGATGGTCAACTCTTTCTACTTGTTGATGACATCGATTTTCTCTATGAACTCCGGCGTGATGCGATTCAAAGCATACGAATTTTAATTCAAGATATCCACTCTCTTGAGGAATGGTCTGAGAACTGGCTGATAAACTTCTCGACCGAAAACAAAGATTATGTCATGTGGTTGCTCGATCCCCATAGGTCAAGTAGGCTTAAAAATAACTGTATGTCCATAGGACATTCTACCCATGATCTTGAGATCCGGTGTTCTTCCGACTTCCGTTTTGCTAAACAAGCTCATTACCAAATAGCACAAGCCAGACAATCCGTGGTTAACATATGCCGCAAAATCACAAACCTTCACTCGTCCTATCCTTGAATACTGCAAATTAATCTATGGCAGCATCAGCATAATGAACAGGAATTCTATGGAAAATTTACAGAGGACATTTGCCAAACCTTTGTTCAGTAGTACATCCATCCTAAACTGTTGCGAATCTTGCAAGCAGCTTTACATCGGTCGTCTCTGGCTACGACATCTTATGCAAAAGTTGGTGCTGTTTCGGAATTTGTTTGCAAAGGAGAAGGTACTCTTACATTCTAACATAATGACAGAACATAGTAACCATCATAGAATCCGTAAACAAGGTTTACGTTACTGATAGAAAGGACTAAAACAGTCATGGGTTCTAATCATTTCCTCACCAGATACGCCGTCTTGTGGAACAGCCACGAACCACAATCAGGACGGTAAAACCTGCATCATGATAGTCAAAACTCGACAGATGCTGTGATCTAGGAGCGTTATTATTCATGTTCTCATCCAATAACCCACCTGAAAAATATCCTAAGGTGGTCCAAAAATATCCTGAAAGCCAAATATTGGCGTCAAAATGCATTCATTTGAGAGCATGATCACTTCTGTACATAATTATCTGCTCCTAACTTAGTAAGAATTTCATCCTTGATATATATATATATATATATATATATATATATATATATACTCCTTGGCTGTCGATTTCGAGCACCACGCTCGTGTAGATGTTCAACAAATGGTTGAAACTATGTGATGAAAAACGCACTGAGAAAGTTGTTGGGGATGGCACAATCCTTCTTCTGGGGCAGACGCCTCGTGATCTGCCACATTGGTGGCTACAAATACTATACCACATGGCCCAGTCGTGAAGTTAGCGGTGTCATATACAAGAGCAATCAAGCTCCTCGACCGGCTATACATCCGTACGTTCATATGGCCAGTTCCTCATTACATAATATTTCGGTGTTCTGTTGTTCATTCTATGACGTTTAACTTTTATTAACATATGACCTAAATGATCGTATTTCAACACTCCATTCACAACTAGTCAACTAAATTGCCTTGTTACTCATAACGCCATCGGATCCGATTGATTTGAAAGTTGTGGCTACACAGGCGTACTCAGATTCCGACTGAGTGAATGTGATCACATAGATTTTCTCTTTACAGACTTGTGACTTTCAAGATAATGCACGAGAACGGCTACAGTACGTACTTGGAAGTATTGTTGCAAGATGACGTTGAGTAAGATGCTCCATGCGTAAGCGACACCGGTGTTTGTGCCTGTGAACATGAGAAGGAAGTTGTGGGATTTGTATTGTTATTCAATCCATATATAAATTAGTAAACGCATCGAGTTATGTGATAACATAGAACCATAATAAAATCTATCCCCTTTCCAAGAGACATATGTTTGTAAGCTACTGAAACCTAACGCATGTCCGTATTTGGAATGGGAAACTCGTATGTTTGTTGTAGGCAACTAACGCTCCATCTGCTTGCACTACTTTGCACGTAGCCGTACTTTGTATGATAGTCCATTGGGGCGAGTTAAAAGCGGTCATGTTACTACTCCACATTTAGGACAAAGCTCATGGAATCCAGCGCGATATCCAAACATATTGTGGCAACAGCAAATGTGAGATTAGAAGCACGGATTATTATGCGCTTTCCAGGACGAGCTGATCCGAAGTTGCTCTAAACGGTATTATGGTTGAAATTGACGTCTACCGTATCCACAATTTTAACGGATATTCGTAAATGAAGGGATAACGTTTGTCACAAAAACGTGATTAATCATGTCTGCATAGCTTGTACTTGCTAGAAGTCTAAGGACCAATCTAGACAACCCTATCATTCTGCTGATAAACCGGTATTGGCATGCTGCATCTGTCACCTTAGCTGTTGGCGATGAAGTGTTGTCAACCCAGAAATGTTTTAGTTCTCTTCACCGTGTAAAGTTTTATCGTGGTAGACAGATACTTGGCGTTATCCTTTCGTAATACTGCACTCAGCGATCGATCTTATGTGCAGATGTAATCATATGGTGGGGCAGCAGACTGTGACTCCACCCCGGGGCAAATGGGATATCGTCCGGAACTTCTACCTCTTTGTGACAGAGTCGCGGCAATAAACAATTATCTCAGTGGTTACTGATTCGCTGGAGTGCTCAGCCTGAAGCACGCATCATGTGAATGGGTTGCGATGCGTCACTTCCGTCTGATGAATGCAAAATAGTACGAAACCAGTTGTGGAAAGGTATAAGCGGTACGCCGGTACGCAGTACTGAAGCTTCGTTGACTCGCAATCAACACAGGGCCCACGTGGGCTAAGGATACTGCAAGGGTCGCCCTGCCCTTACGCAGGCTCAAAACCGCGCCGTCAGATTAGAAGCTCGTTACCTTTAAGCTACGGGCCGGGAAACTACTTGTGGGATGCAGTGTTGCATGCGGGAAACACTCAACACGCATTTACTCCACATGCCTTTCTAGCAGCCGAATCGCTCCAAACTCGATGCATAGGGAATTGCGGTCTAGATCATGCATGGCCATTCATTCATTCAACGCGTACAGTAAAATAATTCCTCCAATTGTAATCTCAACACGGCTGATTCGCTTAGCCTCAGCAACATACCACGACCAAACCTAAACTCCCGAATATGGGATAAATTCTGACTTCGTTTTGATAACGTGCTACACAAGTTTTTGTAGTGAAACCGGGAAAGCCAACAAACCAACGCGAACGACTGGGCGCAGCGGCAATAGAAGAAGCTCTGGTTATTTTTGAGAAGTTTCTTCGCAGTTAGACTCAGGCAGACAGCCACCACACATCCAAGAAAGCGCTTTCCTAGGTGTGTGGTGGATGTCTGCTTGCGTCCAACTGCGACGAATCTTCTCAATAAATTCAATAAACCCCCTACTACTTACAAAGAAGCTCTGTTTAAGCCAATGCGGTTCACGCGCATGCGTACCTTATACTTGTTCTATAAGAGACAAGCTTGAACAGACATCCGTTTGACTGGTGCATTTAATTCCTCCGTTTATCTTGGTTTGAAGTGCCCCTCACAGACTGTTGACCATAAACCTACCGTAGCAAAGCGTGAGGAGTAAAAAACTCCTGTTAGTGCAAATGCTCTTCAGCTGCTGCTGGATGCTCCAAGAGCCATCTGTGCAGATTTCACCATTGTACGATGTAGACACCAACGTAGTTCCACCGCTGCCGATTGATTTCCTCCGATTTCTTTTCGTCAAACGCAAAGATTCCGCAAGCGATGGCGCAGTCGGTGGTCGCTCCTTGAATACTGGCAAAAGGAAACGCAACAGTTTAATGGGCTGGACAAGTGTTTGACAAATTCGACGTTTACGTAACATACAATAGGTTAAATAGACGAGCATCTTCTGCTCAGGGTTGCAGTGCAGGCGGTTCCTATTCTTCAGGATGGGATTTATTTAGTGATGTCTAAAATCATAAATGCCGATGTAGTGGCTTTGGAATACCCCTGATTGCTGCATTATTTTGGAGACCACTTGTTCTGTGTATGCCACTTCGGATGTTTATGGATATGATCGGCGCTTTTGCAAAATCACAAGCGGACTTTCGTCATCCGTCTGTGCGCACTTTTGCTTATGGCGCATAGACTGGAAATTTTCGACTTTCGTTCTTTTAAACTTGAACGCTACTACAAGAGACCCATAGGTAGAAGTAATGTGCAAAATATTAGTGGCCTCCCACTGTTCTCGCGATAACACTTCCTCGTATATCTGAGCATGCCAACACTTATCTTCATAGTCCCATAAAGCAACTAACGCTGCTCATGCGAGATGGAAAGCCTTTACGCGGAAATTGTGAGTGCGTTGTTTGCAAGTGCATAAGCGATACAGTGTTTCAGCGAGCACAACAAGCAGAAGGTCACCGTACTCATTTGTGACAAATGCTTGATATCAGTCTCCAAAGCATCCCTTTATGTATTGTCATCTCACCTCCGGAGGGTGTACACTTATTTTAATAGATGCGGTACGGATCCCACATACCTTGTGGGTGCTCTACAGAGAGCCTAACTCCGTGCAGCAGGTGAAACGTATGGGGATCTAAACACTGTTTCTGTATTACAACAACACTTCAATGAAACATATTTACAACCCCTGCGGCGCCGTAAAGATGTTGCGATATTTAAAGAGTTAGGACGGTTAATAACTGACAGACGACTGCAGAACAAGGGAGACGCTCCAACACTTCATTTCTCGTGACCAGCTCATTAGATGTAGAGCTGATAATCGAATTCAGTCAAACGCTATAGTCTCAGCGTCCAACGCAGAGAATGCTCCACGATCCTCATTTTGGAGTGGCAGGAGAATACACGTGATTTAACAACACCGCTTGACGCATCTCTGTCCGGGCAATTGTAGGACCGACATCGGCCAGATAATCTTGTCTGACCACGTTACCCTGACCCAACGAGTGGTGCTTCACTCTCGTCAACGACTGACACCGGACTTGGCGTTAAGGTAACTGACCAACCAAAATAAGTGAAGAAATCGGGCTGTTTAAAATTGAAACCGGTAAGTTTCGGCATTTGTGTTACCGTTTCGTGGTATCAAACAGGATTCCATTGGTTGTACTTTGTTAGTCGTATTATTTCTTCATCAGAGTAGCGCCACATTTGCTTTCATCCATATGCTGTAATTCAGGCTTTTTCCTTACATCCTTTTGAGTTTTTATAGCTGATCTTCGGACTTAGCTTTGTTCTCTGATTTCTTTCTTTATGATGGTGATAAACCAAGCTGTTCATCCGAAAACAACTGACAACAAGTGTCTGGTAGCCAGCCGTAAGCCAAATACTGCTAAGCTCGGTGTTCAAAAATTTTTAGGTTCAGCAGACCAAAATACAAATTTGGTTGTAGTAGATGGCATGGAAAATAGAAGGAACCGGCTAACAAGGGCTGCTAAAAATGAGAACCCAGCTTCACTTCTGATAACTTAAAATGCCACCAAAATCCATAATGCAAAAGTGAGGTAGCTGTATTAGGCGAAAAGCTCAAAAAAGTTAGTCAGCTACTGGAGAAACTGACATTAAGATCATACTAAATGAAGGTGCCTGATAAACCGAATGCAAATCACTTGCAAGCAGAAGCATCGATCTTTTCTTTGCTCATCACGGAAATTCGTGAAAAGATAAACCGGGCTAGAAATGTTGTCATTTTTTATATACCAGACAAAATACACCTGGAAAGTGTGATGCGTGTCTTGCTCAATGCGGGAAGCATGAGTGGAACAAACTGTCAACTTAGCCGTCTAAGGAAAGCAAACCCTAATTACGCGTGTCCGATCCTATTAAAGTTTACAGAATAAACCCATGCCTAAATACATAACACGAGAAAGAGTTTATTTGCTACCAACACTGATTTCAAGCGTATCATGATGAAACTTCATCAAAAGCATCTTCAGAGGGAAATTAGGGTAAAGCAGGTAAAATCCGACACCAAAACTATACCTTATAATATTGTTAGCCACCAAACTGATATAGATGCCCAAGACCAACTTACTGTGAATTTACATTTGTGCTTCTAAAGTTTAAAGTTCAGCTTTCTGTATGACTTTGAGATCGAATTTAGCATTGGAGAAGTCTTGCAAATCTACTGGCCATAGTTATCCTCAGATAAACACATAATTTGGGCATTGTAATAGACGACGTTAAGGGCTCAGCAACCGCAGAAAGCAGCGAAGTATCTTCTAGTATTCAGAGGGCAGTTAATGTACCTCACACTTATTACCGGCAAGATGACAATGCAGATGAACTTAGGACTCCTAAACACGAAATCGCTTCCTGACAACAATGTAAACTGAGAGCAAGTCGGAACCAGAACAAGGCTACAAAGGCACTTAACGGCAACGCTACATTTTACCACCGAATTCATAAGACCATTAGAAACCAGACCATTAATCCCATGAGACTGAGATGTTCTAACACGAACACACAATATACCAGCTACAAGAAACTTCTCTAACATAAGACATCCACCTCGGAGTATAAGTAAAACGTTTTCCTAGATCACATCTGGACAAATGGGGGCAGCCCTATAACCAGTACCACGTAAAAATTAGCAGATCTCGATTCTATGACGTACATCAACAAACGCGCCCAGCTGCTATACACACAAACATTTTAAAAAGGAATAAGATCTCACTGCCAATTCTTGAGTACCCTAGAGCAGCAGTGCGCCAAAAAAATAAAGGTGTTAATATATTTGTTCTATACCATTTCTTACTTGATAACATAACGCAATCGCTTACATCCTTAGTGCAGAAGCTATCATTCTTACTGCAGAAGCCATCATTCTTAGTGCAGAAGCTTTCCTCCTTAATGCAAAGGCTATCATCCGATAATCATCCACGTAGCATCCACGTAGCTCTGCGTGGGCAGAGGCTACCAGCCAATAGAATTCGGTATAGCCTAGAGACTGAACACAGTTACGCGCAGAATACTCACGCTTTCGGAGGTGGGTAGGAAAACTGTGAGACTTGGTTGAGATTACATGGTGAAGCTCAAATGGACGGCAATTGAGACTTTACTAAACGGAGCTCAGCCGGTGCACAGTGTGCCGCGCGCCCTCACTGGACAATGGGAGTGTCTCAGACATCCATTGGAGCGCACACAGTCCCTGAGGGAAGGGAAACGCGTGCGCTCAGAGCACCGGGTATAAGCCTGAATTGGAGTCAAGTCCCTTTTATAAGTGAGCAAAGGAGATGTCTGAGGCTAGGGCGCAAGTAATGCACGCAGGACAACAGTGCCCAACGTTGGTTTGGTACTAAAAAGATGCTCTAAACAAGAGGCGTAGATAGGTTGCCTCGTTTTGGTGGGTATTCAGGCTAGTTCGGTCGGATAGTTAAAAGCAAAGTAGAAGCTACCGTTTGACCTCGAAGTCAAGTTTTCCGTAACATAAGAAGCGGAACGATCTCCGTCGCAGTAGAATGGATACCAATCACTAAACGTAACTTCTTTCTTTATGCGATGAAATATCACTTTTGTGACGGATCCACAGGTCTAAGTTGAACGTGGGGTAGAAGGTAATCATATTCCAAACAATTCGCCCCCATACGGATCACATAGGGCAAATCTGATGGAGGTAAACAGGACAGCTCCCGGGTGGAATAATATAATCATCAATGGAGCGATGAAGGAGGCTTGTGATAGATGTTTGATTGCAGCCTTGCAATTTCCTTTCAAATGAGATGTTAAACGGTGAATTATATTACCTTCCTCCTTGTTCCGCAAGTACGCAGACATGAAATATGTTGTTGCGAAGGGATTACACTACAAGCAGCAGGTCTCGCGAGCCGGTGCACTCTACGGCAGTGGTCCCCAACCTTTGTATCGCCGTGGACCGGTCGGTGTTTGATAATTGTACCCCGGCCCGCTGAGGGGGTTTGTTGATCCTTTATATTCTAGATTGTTTTGAGTGAATAATTCCAATGTAATTCTGATTGAACATGCCTTGAAAATGACATCGAGTTGCACCAAAAAATTAGATATAAAGTGAGCTAATACGTTAACTCACTGGAACGCTAAATTACGGACAACCATGAGCGTGTTCCTCCTCAACGAGACTGATCCATCTGGAGGAAATAGGAGACAATGATGCTTGATGTGTGCTGCCTAGGTCCAGTTAAGTTGGTTGGTTTGTTTCGGCTGCTGACACTGCAGTAAACCCCGCTTCACACAGTTAGGTTGTCAGAAATGGCAACCTGCGCTTAATTCACTATGACTTTAATTGCAGTACACCGGCGAAGTTGTTTGTCACGAACGTACTATCAAGGCCGCCGTCTTTTGCAATCTCAGTAGTGGTGCATAATGTGGGATAGATGAGTAATAATAATGCGATAATCTCATTGATTGTGAGTCAACAGTTTAGAAACTGACCTGCAAATCGTCAAAATCCACAACTTTTAAAAATCATACACACATTTATATTGTCATAATCATTAACCACCAGATGAAAAATATCAAATACAGTGTTCTGTTGTTTGGCAATTGAAATGAAAGGAATTTAGTTTTTCCCTCACGTCCAGAAGAAGTGCAAACATGTCAGTGTGTCCGCTATGTATTGCGTAGGAGTGCAAAATATCAACATCACCCTGTGCGTCTGTGAATGTATACGTTTTCAGAACGTTTGCACAATCCTGTTCCTGCTGGTAGTCTGATTCATTATTCACATCCTCAGCTGCTAAAATTGATGTGGTTGGAAGGTCGCAGTTTATTTCTGTTGTGTGACATGTTTGGAAATAGGAATCAACCAGATAGCT